CCGGCGGCACTTTACCGCTGTCGGCATGTTCAAGGGATTGCTGGCCAGGACGACGGCTGGGGCGCTCCGCCCCATGCTCTGACACCTGCAGGTCGGCAGGCCCGTCAGCCTCCCGCTCGAGCACCCGGCAGCACTTCACCGCTGTCGGCATGTTCGAGGCCGTGCTGGCCTTGGTGCATGCTTTACCCGCGCCTCTCCCCCCCCCCCCCCTGCCCGCCGCAGAGATCGAGCCGAAAGTCGGAATTCGGCCGGGCGGCCGGCGCCGAGCCACCGAGCCGCCGAGCCGAGCCGGCCGGACGCGGCCAGCAGACGCATTTGCTCGCCCGCCACATCCAGTCGCACTCCTCGTTCGGTTGGTTAGACTACTGCTTGAGTCACTCGCTCTTCCTCAGCATGGCGCTGCACCCGTACGACTACCACCCGCTCCGGGCTGCTGCTGTGGCTGCGACGCTAACTCATCACGACATCGTCTACGGGAAGCCTACCACCAACGAGGCGACCATCTACATCCGTCCGCCCGTGCCCAAGCAGTTTATGGTTGCTGCGTTCGAGTACAACAGCCTCGAGGAGTTTCCTGTTGACTTCTTGCCACCCATCGAGGTTGTTGTTACTTCCCCGCCATCTCTCGTGCGTGAGTCTACTGCTGCTGCTTTGCGTGCTGCTGAAAAGCTAGTCACAGATGCAGTCGCCGCCAAAGAGAAGGATGGTGACCGTCTGAAACGTGCGGAAGCTGAAGTGGCCCGGGCCAAGCCCGCTGCCGAGGCCGCTGCCTCCGCTGCAGATGCCGAGGCCGAGGCTGCCCCCTACTTCACTCTCGCCTTCAGCTGCCCGTGGCTGAAAATCGGCCAGTTGAAGATCATTGCCCGGCTCGTCGACAAGTCGTGGGATGCAGCCCTCGACCACCAGGCTCTGAAGGCGAACCTGGAGTTCCTCGTGTTCCGGCTGCCATGGGCCGTGATGAAGGCGCTCGGCCTCATCACCTCGCTCGACCTGAGGTGGAAGGCATGGCCTGGCACTCCCTTGCCTGGCATGCCCCCAAATGTGCAGCAGGGTCAGCCAAGGAGACTCCGCTGCAGGCCTCGGATCAAGAATTTTATTGCGAAGTCAATTATCCGTAACTTTGTTCCCACGGTGACCAAGTCATACCTGGAAGACTACTCCAGTAAGACCAGCCAGATGTTTCTGCAAGGCATCCTGAAGGCCCGCTGCGCCTTTGGCGTCTGCAGCATCATCGAGGAAGGTAAGCCTAAACCACCCGATGTGCTGCCCACGCGAGTCCTCTTCGCGTCTGGCTGCATAGGTGGCTTGGGGGGCCACCTGGGTTGTGTCAGCTGCCTGCGTGACCAGCTGGCGGCGATCCCGTATGCTTACTACTGCCCTGTCGTCCTGGACACAGCTGGCGCGTGTCTCGGGCGCTTCAGCGAGGACCAGGTGGTGCTGGCTACTACTGATGCCGGACCAACGGGGCAACTTCAGGACCGCTGCCGGTACGCGTACAGGTGCAGGAGGGAATTCGAAATCTACAACCGTGACATGGCGCAGGGTATGGCTGACTATCGTCACTACAACCATCCCTGCCCCAAGTGCACTAAATTCGTGAGGACGGCGGAGTTCATGGAGGACGCCCAGATTACTATTTGCCCCCACTGTGAGATTTGCTTTTGTGGAGTCTGCACTGGTATTGAAGAAAGGCGTGTCCTTGTACATAGGGATGCTTGTGATTGCGATGGCTGCAAGGCTCCGAAATGGTGGTGTAAAATTTACTGTGGATTGCAAGTGCTGTGTATGCGTATCACCAGGGAAGAATGCAAAGCCTTAATTCAGAGTAAATTTGATAGTGTGCCAGAAAGTTTTGTGGAAGACGGTATTTTTTATGCGCAGAAGCAACTAGAAGCCATTGCCCGCAACCGGACATGCCCCAGCTGCTATATCCCTATAATTAAGGAGGGTGGCGGGTGTCCCAAGATGGAGTGTGCCGAATGTGGCACACTTTTCTGCTGGGTGTGTCTGACGGACCTCCCTAAGCTTTCACCATATGAACACTTTACCACCACTAGGTGTGTCTTTGATGTGTCCGCATACATGTAAATTTTGTTAGTAACTTATTTCTCCTTGTTAGGTATGGGCGGGTAGTTGTATGTTGGCAGTGTTTAGTGCCTTTCATTATTTACTCTATAAACAACTACCCCGTAAACATTAATGTCTCCTTCTAAACTATGTTAGGACCTTTGATGGCCAATTCTTAATGAGAAAAATATTTTGTTAATGAGTCTGGTCTATTCATGTAATGCTCCAGAAGTCCACTTTCAAAGATATCTGTAGTTTCTTCATCTAATTGTTCAAGTTTTTTCTGACATTTTACTATCCTTACTCTGTCAGTAATTGGAAATGTGGGTATGAAAATACAGTCTTCAGAAGATCTTGACAGGGGTATTTGCAATATATTGTAGCACACTTCTTGAATGGATAGCTCACTGTTGTTATAAAAAGCATTTGAAAGTTTGGTGAAAGATTTTCTCAAGTTTTCGTTACCTTGGCGAACTTCCTGAAGAACTTTTTTCAAAATCATACTCATTCCTCTTGATGATTTATTTATGTAGTCTATGATGTAGGTAGCAGCACTAAATGCATCAAGAACAAACTCTATATTGATGTTGCTTCTCATCAGCTCTATTATCTTCTTTGAAAATGGACTAATCAATATATCTTTAGGCACACGTTTCAGAAACAATTGTGGTTTACTTAAACCTGATCTAATCGCTAAAAAATATTGTTTTTTAGATATTTTTAAGAAATTGAGAAACTCTGTAAATGATAAATTACTGACAGTATCCTTATTCAATTGATCTTGGATGGTTTTCAACATTTTTTCATGTCTCTTTTTATCTGTATCATTGTATTTTTCTGAAAGAGGAAGTAAAATTCGTGTCTCATTCATTGGAAAGTATGGAATGTTGAAACGACGTTGATCATTGTTGGTCCTCTTGCGACATGTGTGAGAATGTTTGAGAGTTTCTATGTTTATGTTGAGTTACTCTATACGATAGTATGAGTGCAGATTTCATGTCTCTTTTTATCTGTATCATTGTATTTTTCTGAAAGAGGAAGTAAAATTCGTGTCTCATTCATTGGAAAGTATGGAATGTTGAAACGACATTGATCATTGTTGGTCCTCTTGTGACATGTGTGAGAATGTTTGTGAGTTTCTATGTTTGTGTTGAGTTACTCTATATGATAGTATGAGTGCAGAATGCTGTGATTATGGAAAGGTCCATCAGGGCTGTCCCAAGTTTTCCTTATTGCGCTAAATCTCTGTTCAAAATGTAGTGCAGCTGTAATTGGATCTTTTTGTAGTAAACGAGCTTTTTCTTGATATGTTAGATTCTCTGCTTCATCTTCTGCTATATGTTGGTAATCCACAGTCAATTTTAAAGCAACTACTAGTTCTGGACAGTAATTAGAGTTTAAAAAAAATACTGCTTTGCAATGTTATTTTATGGATTTCAAATTTTAAATTACCGTTTGTAGATTTGATAGTATTAGTTCCATTATAATTTGTTTAGAAATTTAAAGTTTGTGAATAAATAATTGAAGAAGTGATTAATGAAATGAGCATTTGTCATATTTTGAAGTTTGTGCCTTACTGCCTACCAATCACAAACAGATAATGACATAATACAGTACAACATAATTTGAGCTGAAAGGTGGCCAAAAGCAAATTTGAAATAGAAGAAAGGCACATGTGTAATAGAGGCGTAGGAGTAAGGGTCATTGGGGTACTTTACAAATGCTACTTTTGAACTACGCTACAGCATTATGTAATGGTAATAATAATGAAAATAGTTTGACTCATTTCCATTGGATACTTATTGCAAACTTTCGAGATAGGTCTTACTTTTCCACACTACCCTGAAAGTCTGAAAACTGGCAACCTCACTGGCGATCGAAGAAGTGATAATGCATCGTCATCATTTATTTTTGATACAAGTCTTTTCATGAGTTGCAAATGGGTAAGACGCGGAGGGTTGTGGCCGGACATGACTTACCTTTTGCCCCCGCGCTGTCTCACGTCACGTCACGTCACCGACCACGAACACAGCAAGTACACGTAGTTCCAGTACTTTAACCGACTTGCCTTGTATAACGTTATTGGCATTGGTTCCATATCTTGAACACAATCAACTCTACAGTCACGGTGGGTTTTGTTTATTTACGAGCTGCTCCTTCTGCTTGTTTGTCTCCGCTCCTCATTCGGCTCTGCCAAGATGTAACGATGTGGCTATTCGCAGGCTGTCTCAGCGGGCGCCATGACACAACAAAACCCAAACAACAAACAAGGGAATGAGGCGTCGTCTGCGCTTTGGGAACGGTTCAAGTTCGAAACAACTTCACTCGTACACATGAACAAACACGGACAACAAAAATAATTGGATGTGCCTGGTAACCATACTTTTCTTATAAACGTTTGTTCTACGTTATTTCTTGAGTTTATTCTGAATAAGAGAAGAAGCAGCTCGGCTTTACATCCGATCAGCCATGATCGAAATCTTGTGTAATGGTAAGCTCATTTCCTTCGATTGTTTCGTTGTTGTTTTCATCTGCCTATATTTTGGTACTGTTCGATTCTTATCTTGATTTCTTATCTTCTCAGAAGCTTCAATATAATGTCTGCTGTAACTCTTAATTTGTTGTCAGGCAGGTGATACCCAAGTTCCTAACCCCAATTCTCAATTGTCTAGCACTGGCAATATACCAAACAATGGCTCATTGTTCTATCTGCAATGATGTCCAATGGAATTCAGAGATCTTGCTTTGTTGTACCATAACTCTTCAGTTGAAAAATGGTGCAGCTCGTCACGGTTATGATTTTAGGACATTGAGTGAAAAGACTTGGTTAGTATTTCGGTACTATGTTTTACTTTGTTCTGCAAGTCTATTTAATGCTATCTACACTTGTTATTTACTGTTGTTATTACTTTTAAATTTTAGGTTACAATTCCAATTGCTGTACATTCTGTCACAATCTGATGATGGAGCCGAGAACGTATTTGGCTCCAGTAGGACTGCCCGTCTTGTCCGTTTGGAATACAAGTCTGGTCAACGCACAACTGTTGATCAACATTCATGTGAGCAGGTATGTGGTCTTGATTGAAATAAAGTCTATTGTGAGTTGAATTTTCACATGGCACTCTTGGGGAATTTTTTGTGAAGCCATCAAACTATAATACGGGTTTGAGGGAACATATATATAGTTTGTTGCATCCCTGGATGGTTGGCATTAGAATAAAAAAAAACTAAGCTTGTAAACTGATCCTTTTTTTGTCCCTCAGCTATCTATTAAAATCAAGTGGCCCTATTATCTAATTAGAATTGGAGCTAATGGTCTATGTATTCCCAACCTGTTTGGCCTCGAGTTTGTTACATTGGAACAGGCAGATGTTCTATTACCTCTCTGCTCTTTGTGGAGAATCTGTAATTTGGGGCTTGCACAATCTACCTCCGAAGTCAAACTAAACATTCGAGGTAAACAAAAGTGGTTGAATGTAAATACATATATTTTTATTGTGAAAACTGCATTTGAGAGGATATTCACAGGAGTAGTTTGCTTTATAATGTTAAGTATTTGTTTGTAGATGGGGTGCTAATGTTTTTTTTTAAATCTTCATTCCAGGGGCTGTACTTGTTCTTACTATGACTTATTTTAAATTTCATGAATTCATCTGATTTTATTGACAAGTAAGTCTCCCCGTATCATGAAAATTCATATCAGATTGAAGACTTATCACATTGACTGTTTTTTTTGTTTTGTTTGTGCATACCAGAGGGACAACGTGGCAGGTGTGTGTGGTGCTCTTCCTCATACTCATGGAAAGAACAATGCCATGTATAACTTAAAGAACACCTCCAAAGTCTGAATTCGTTAAGGCCGGATACGCTTCAAGTTCTCCAAGGTTAGTGATCAAAGCTGTTCTTTGGCCCAGGGGAGGGATAGAATCAGTCAGGAAACAGTGACAGTAAAACAAAAAGTTTCAGTTTGTTCTATTTATATCCATCTGTTTTATAAACAAAGTTTGAAAGTTGTCAACAATTTTTTCATTGTCAACCTTTATATACAAGAATGGAATAGAAAAGAGGCAATGAAGTTAATATCGTTAAACCTAAGAACTTGTCATCTTCAAGTAGCACTAATCTGTTTGTAGAAGAGACAATGATAGTGTTCTTGATTTGTGTAGGACTCGTCCTCTTTTTACTTTGCCCATTTCTATCCTACACCTTTGCTGTAGACGTTTGTCATCCTTTTTCCATGTGGTATGATGGATTGAATTCATTTCCGTTATTGAGATCTTACTGCATAGATGGATGATAGAATTATATGCACCTAAGTAAGTGTATAGGATTTTTCAGTTGTTTATATATCCCCTGTGTGATAGCTTTTCTAAGATTCTCCCCATTTCAGAATTATAATTGTTCTCTCTAGTTGTCAAAGTATGATGTTGAAATTCTGCTGTAAATTTATCTAGGTGTTGGCTATCCCATAATATGCAATCACAACTAAGTGAGAAGTAAAATTATGCTTAGTAGATCTTAATCATTTCTTGCCCTTTGTGGTACCAAAAGTTTTCTACCAAGCAGCTGAAAATTATATTTAAAATCCGTCATATCTGTCTACAGAACGATGGTCACTTAATTTGCACCAGCTACGGTGTGCTAGTTTGCAATGTTGTACATCGGAGGAGCTCTGAAGCACGTTCTTTATGTACGTGTCGCGAAAGTCGTGGAGTATTAACTGAGCAGTAAAGTTTTCGATCGGATGTCTCGCTTGCCCCCGGTGGCGCCTTCAGGTGGGGGGGTAGTAGAAGTGAAATGTGGGTTGAAATATGCAGAAAATCCTTGCCTTAATGGCCGCCGTGGCTCACCGCGGGCGATTGCCAAGACTCGGCTTAAAGCTTACGAGATTTGACAACTCTCAGCCGAATCAGTTCGATCAACACAGTCGTACGTAGTTTTAACTCTTGGATACGCGATGGCACCCGCAGTGCGCCGGGTAGGCAGTCGTGCGGAGCAGCTGTGTGGACCC